AACCTTAATATGTATAATTTACCTGGAATAGTTGTTATTGATAAATGTTTTGCTTGTTCATCAAATAATTGTTTTTTGATTAGTTCATTTTCTTGTTTTAAATAAGTAATTTCACTATTTGAATAAAAATTATCAATAGAAAAATGATTAAAAAAAAAACTATGAACACTAACTCAATTTTACGCATAATTTCTGCTTCTGATTGTTCTAATTTTTTTTCTACTTGTTGTCTAACGTTAATTTCTCTTTCTACTGTTATTCGTAATTCTTGAATTTCCATGTGTTGTAATTTAAGTGAATGACTAAGTACACGTGACTAAAAAAACAACGATTTTTAATTTAAATAATAAAATAAAAACCCAAAATTTTAACTGGTTTATTTTCAACAGTCGAAAATGATGGTGTTCTACTACTAATAGACGGTCGACGATTTGTTGAATCTTGTATTTGATCAACTTCTTCAGCCATTTGATCTGCTAATTGTTTTAAATATAAATTTGAATGTTTATCTTCAGTAATAGTTTTATACATTTTTGCTTGTATTTTGAAATATTTACGATGATTTTTTTCTAAGGAAATTAATTGTTCACTAAGTTCTGTTTTATCATTTAAAATTTTATTTATTTGTTTGTAAAGACCGTTAAGAAATGAAATAATATTTTTCAATAATGGATTATTTATATTCTTATCTTCTGTTATTAAAACCATTTCATCATCACCGTTGTTACTGAATAAATGAGAAAATTTGTCTTGAAATTTTGATATAAGAAGAGAAATATCATTTGAAATAGATTTGTCTTTGTCTTTCGAATCTTTTATTATTAATAATGATTTATAATTAGTTAAAAAAGAATTCAATCGTTGATCGAACTCATTTCTTATATCTTCTAACGATAACGGAGAAGAATTTTGTCTATTAAAATTCTTATTTCTCTTTGAACCAGGAAGATCTTGGAATAAATTTAAAATGCGAGTGAAATATTCAATTTGTTCATGTTTTGATACTGTTTGTTGTTCAGTATAAAAATCCTTCAATAACTGCATTTGACGTGTTTGTATAATTGAATCACCTTTTGCTTCGTCATATAATTGACGCACAAGATTTAATTCCTTAACTAATGATTTTCGTTCAAGTTCCAATGATTTTATTATTTCTTCATGTTGACTTTTTCTCGGTTGTCTGACTGCATCAATCGAAGAACTATGATTACCTACGAAAAAAAAATCACAGTACTCCATATAATAACACAAAATATTCTATTACCTGACGAACTAGATTTAGTAGACGGAATTATCATCCTGGCTGCTGGAAGAGAAGCTGTTTTGGTTTTGATGAGAGAAGTAGAAGACACTTGTATTGCTTCAATACTATTTGATGAATGACTAAACAATCATTAAAAAATAAAGTTATTTTAATACACGAGAAAAAAATTATACAAAGATATGAGTTGAGGAAACATCAAAAGTTGTTTTTGTGAAACATGAACTATATGATTGGATTTTTTAGACTCTTCTCTTCCTCCATATGGAGCCGTCGCAGACAATTTAACAATATTCCATCATAGATCGTGATAGAAAAATCTCAAGATTGAAATTTACTGGATTACTCTATGAATGATTGAAAGAATAAGTGTTAAGTGTATCAACAAATTGAAAACATTGTATATGCTTAACACAATTTTCTTTGTTGAATTAAATTGAGCATAAGATACATGCAATATCAATCTAAACCGCTTTATCACATACCACTATCAAGAAGTAACAACAGTTATTTTATTTTGCATATTTACAGCTTACAATATAACAGCAGAGAAGAGAATCATAGTACTGAATAATGAGACTTCCCCTTTTGCCAAAAACGTAGTAAGACCTCAGTTCCTTCTATTTGACGATGGAATAAGTACTAAGATTTACAGGAAAATCTCGAACATCTTAAATGCTACTAGTCCTATTCGTTTCTCTCGAGCACATAGAAATTTTACTGTGAACACTTATAATTAAGATGCATATCATTTCTTCATTGATTGTGTCAAAAAAAAAACGTGTCATTGACTCACTTGTCACCGGAATAAGTAAAACCTATGAATGGTACTTGTCCGATCAATCCCGTTTTGGAGGCAGATGTATCGAAATTCTACAATAATTTATTTATTTGGTTAGAAAAATCAAAAAAAACAATATAAGAAATATCTAAGTACAAAGATAAATCATAAGTATATGTAGACTATATTTTCCTAAAAATATTACTGTTACCTGAGTAATTTTCTAAATAAACAAATGAAAAAAGTCAAGATATTAAATAATAAATCAAACGAAAATAATATACTTTGTCAAATGTTTGAGGTTCAACATCATTAAAATTAGTTGTATCCATTGGACTGTCGATGACAGGAATGAATGGAGGTTGTGCTGTAAAATAGGAATAAGACTAATTTTTATCATTTTTTATCAGTTATTACTTTGTTTTAGATTATTCCAATCAATCGTCTTAAAAAATGGATGCTTTTTAAAATCACCAAGTCCATTTTTTCCAAGACGATTATCAGCTGAATCAAGAAGTTTTTCTAATAAATCTTTTGCATCATTCGATACTTCGATATCATCAGGAAATGAAAGTGGAATCTATAGAAATAAGCATAATATATTCAGATTATTCATTTCAAACAGTTAAAAATGATACTAACTTTATTTTGACCACGCGCTGTTATTTGTCCGTAAGTACCAATCAATGTTTCAGCATAGAATGGAGGTGAACCAAATAACATTTCCCACATAACACATCCTAAACTCCACCAATCACATTCACTTCCAAAGCGACCTTGACCTTTATTCACTGCACCTAATACTTCGGGTGAAACATAATCAGGTGTACCAACAGGAGCATTGCTCTGTACCTAAATAAGAAGAAACGCATTATAAAAAAAAACCCCTATGTAAGTTTTTTGACTGACTGTTCCATCAGCTCTCATTCGAAGACAAGAACCTAAAATAATCATAGATCTCATAAAATGAAACTCGATTTGATATTTTACCAAAATCTGCCAAGCGAATATGTCCTGTACCATCGATTAATATATTGTCAGGTCTTTTGAAATAAATTATGAATAAATCAAAAGAAAATCCTATAAATATCAAATTACTTAATATCTCGATGAATATAACCAAGTTTATGTAGAGAATCAATTGCTAAAATTGTTTCAGCAATATAAAATCGAGTCATATCTTCAGAAAATTCATCATCATATTTCGATAATAAAGTTAGAATATCACCACCATAATAATATTCCATTAGAAGATACTAGATAAAAAAAAACGATATTTGAAAAGAAAGTTATTTGTATTTTTTTTGATAATAATTTACTAAATTTTCGCTGTCATGAAATGCATAATAAAGTTTTGTTATCCATTGAGGATCACCAAATACCAAAACATCACGTTCCTCACGAAAACAAGCTAAATCTGCTCTTTTCAACATTTCTGATTTATTCATTATTTTCATAGCAAATATTTGTTCCGTATTTTTCATTTTTACGACAACAACTAAAGATTAATTTTGAAATGAAATATTTAAATTAATAAAAAAAACTACCTTCACCAAATCCTCCTCGTCCAATAGTTTTAATTTTTTCGAAATCATTTCGATTTAATCGACATTGTTTTATACGTGATACAAATGCTTTAGCTAGAATAAACAATAATATAAAATCAATATTAATATAAACAAAACAAAATAATTACCATTTTCAAGATATACATTAACTGTTTTTTCTTTTCTCAATGTTGCACTAGAACATTCATCGTGAAGTACAAGTAATGCATCGAGTAATCCATCAATACTTAATATAGTTGAATCATTTTTAAAATCATTTAATATAAGTTGTTTGACTTCATGATAACGAGATTCAACATTGATATTGTTGTTATCATTCATTTTTTAAGCAAAGTAACGTTAAAAAAATAATAACGAAGATTTATTCAACACCACACACAATAGCAAAAAGATTCTGTTATATTAATGCAGTGTTTTTTGTGATTATGTGTTTCATGATATTGTTTTAATTTTGTATTTACAGTATGAAGAACAAGCCAGACAGATTTTAGAGTAGACAAGATAAGAATTCGACTCATTTACTAGCAACAGGCTCGAATAAAACAATTAAAGCGAGATATGGTTCACCAGTGACATCTATACGAAACATTCTTAATCGAAACCAAATGACAAATTTCGAATTCAAAAGAATCCGTTTATAAATAAAAAAAACATGTTCAGATAGTCTTAGTTGTTGATGAGAGTTAATATAAATTAATAGTTGAAACAATAATCGTCAAAAGACTGCACTTCACTAATATAAATGTCAAAATAATTCAAACATTTCGTTTATATAAAGCAGAAAGATACAAACTAACATTATCCTACCTTTAGATAAAAAACATTTATATTCATTTTATCAAGATTCATATTCATATTTTCTACTGCTAAGCACATTTAAGTACAGTAATCAAGTATTGAAGTTTTGTTATCATAATCGGAGTATCATATCTTAAAAGTGATTAAGAGTGAGTTTCTGAGAGAGTCAGACACCGATGATGGAAGTAGATCTCAGAATTCGCTGATTTTTTTATATGTTGTAGAGGACAGTGAGTTATATACTTCCTGAAATTTTTAGCCCCATCTGATTTGTTTTTGCAAGTGTAATTGTCAAAGCATGGTCCTGTCTTTTTCATAGTTTTCAAGTATTATTTATACGTTTTCCTATATTTT